TCTCTGTAGTCTTTCTGGCATCGTATAGCTTCTATATTTGTTTCCAAGCCTTGGAGTTTTGCACTATTTGCTGTGGCTTCAATTTCATTTGGAATTCTTACTCGTTCCATTTGCCAGCGCAACGGCGGCCACAGAATGCAATTTTTATTTGAACGCCCTACCCACTACCTGAAATAAAATAATAATATAAATAATGTAAAGGAAACACAAAATAAATTTACCGTCTTCTCGATTCAATAAATTGCCACCAGATTGTTTTATTTTAGACTTTCAACTAAATTGTATGCTATATTTACTTTTTTTCGTCGAAATTGTATGCGATTTGACAGATCGCCAACAACAACTTTTATATTATGACGTAGATGCGCAGAACGAAAAATTTTTGCACCCCTATCGGCGCAATCTTTGTATTCTATCATTCTTGGATTTTAATAATTATTTAGTGATATTTCAGCCAAATCAGTGTAGTACCAATGACATGTAAACAAACCGTTTGACGTTTTTACAGGAAATAGTGCTTAGTGCTTTTTGCTATGCACTTCTACATCTGTTCTCCTTTTACTCTCATTTGAGAGAGTAAAATTGTAGTTTGACAGTTCCACAGGTTTTAGTCCGAAGTTCAAAGGAACAGACTAAATGAAAACCAGACTTTAAGCAATTTATTCTTTTATCACTTCATATGAAGACCCCTAATTCAAGCGTAAATTGGGGAAAAATAATCGATTAATTTAATCAAATGATTAACTCCTGCAATCACTAGTTCAGTCAGTTGTTTTTTGATGTGTTGGTTGTTCTTTTCGGGACTGCTGACGAAATTCGTTTTCAAATAAATACAAAATTTTCTTTTGTGTAACTTATAAAAGATTTGTGGAAGCAGAAAAATTATATAAAAGGCATTTCGAAAGTACCGTGAGTGGCGTAGCGGAGAAGCTGGTTTTTTTGGTGATGGCTTCGACTGATGTAAATGTGAAACTGTCTCGTCTCTATCACTTGGCGCAGAAGTTTAATAATTTTTACCTGACAGGTAGGTGAAAACCCATCAATTGCAGTTTTAATTTTCATCTTAATTCCGTAGCAGCAAAAAAATAATATCAGAAGACCGATGGTTTATATGTAAAAACTGGCCTTCATCGATTTGTGTACAAAATTGAAAAGGGTTTTATGTATGTGACGTTCTAAATAGAATGTCCTTCGGGTGTGTATAGCATCAAAAGTAAAAAAAAATATGCGGATGGAAAAACACACCCATTAACGAATTACTGAAGAATTAGGACAACACGACCAATATCGACCGAAATCTTAAAAAAGTGTGGGTGAATAATATAACGAGAATTAGTAGTAATTTCAATAATTAAGTGTATCCTTATTGAATGTACCAAAATTCGTATGTACAGAGTATTGGCTCTTGGGAAAGCAGATGTACATATGTATGTATGTACATGTTTCACGTAAATGCAAACATCCCTATGTTTATACATGGCTTAATCTCCTTTTGTATTTAAGTATCAGCAGATATACGATTTTTATTAGGTTTTCGGTTCCTAATTATTTACTAATTACTATGCAAATTATGTATGTACATATAATTTTTGGTGGTTTTTGGCATGGGTGTGGCCGACAAGCACAATGCTATTTGTACATAAGTATGTCTATGTACTATGTTTACATTACGATAAAGGATAATGAACTTTGCGAAGCTGTTGGACGTTTCTACGAAAATACTTAATGTTGTCATAACTTGAAGCTTTTAAGATGCGGCTAAATTATCAATTTTTCTTATATCATATTATCTTTACAGACGAAAATTTCTATGAATACATACATTAATAGGTACAAACTCGTGTTTAAACAAATTTTATTAGACATAATGTACATACATACATTTGAAGGGTTTAGAATCAAAAGTATCTAAGTAGGTCTGACATTGTTTTAAGATAATTAAAGTTAAAGTTGATTACTTAGTGTAAATTCTGGGTAAATTCATTTGAAATGATTCTTGCCTAAATGAATGCAGGTTAATTAACTAGTTCAAAGAATGTGTATTCTTTGTCACGAAATAAATACTATAGTGGTATTCATCTAAACCGATAACTTTATCAAGCAGATAATCTTATAAGTTTATGCACTCTGTTACATGAACGACCCACACTCTCTTTTCGTTTACACATGCGACAATAGTCGTGTTTTCTTTGGTTATAAAGCGCAGTGTCACTAACTTTATACTACTAGCACGGGGATAAAGAAATTATAGAAACTACCTCACTAAATTGGAAAAAATTATATTTACGAGATATCTATTTAAATAAATGTACATATAACATAAAGGCTATTTATTTGAAGCAAGTTATAAGAAACAATGGCAGAATGTCTGTTTGTGTATGAATTCATTTGTCACGGCTACCAAACTTTGCGAATTATCAGTGAAACAAAACAAACAGACGGGATAATAATTGAACCAGATCTCTATCAGGATCATATCGTTGTTGAATTTGCGTGCAAAATTTGTATGCGGATCCCGATTATTGCCTAAGAAAACATAGCTAGAGTTGCGACAGAGTTGCATTGTCTTCAGTTTATCAAGTTTATTCAGTGAAATCGCTGGATAAATTTATCAGAAATGTGTAAACGAGTTTCCATACAAATTTTGACGGTTCATTTATAAGGTTTACACAATTATAAGTTTATACGGTTTACAATGCATTTATAAGGTTTGATGAATACCCTTTATATATAACTATACAAATATGAATATAACTTATATTTTCAAAAAAATGTCACTTAGACCCTTATAGTTCTAACCCCTTCATTTGTATACTTGAGCTAGACATTTTCAGTAATAGAAATTTAGTATGTAATTGTGCTATCATTCGTAAACTTTATCGTT